ACCAAAAATGTAAGTTTTATAAAAATTGGGCCAAAAGTGTCATTTTTACAAATAAGGGGCTGAAAATGAAATTTTCTGCCAAATTGGGCCATAAATGTCAAAATATAAATTTTTGGAATAGATCCGTAAATTTCTAAACATTTGGGACGAAATTCCAAATTTTTATAAATTATCGACTAAAGTGTTATTTTTACAAAAGTTGGACCTTAATTGAAAATTTGAGGCTTATCGGCCAAGAACGTCGTTTTTGCAAAAATATGACTTTTTAATATTCAATTCGGTAAACATCGAGCTAAAGCAAACAACAAAATAATAATGAATGAACAAAATACATCGATAACAAATTTTATTGGGCCTAATATTCACATTACATGATCAATGGGCCTTAAGTGCCCATTCAAGTGTATATTGAGCCCAATATTTTCTATGATATGTTTATTGGGCCTTGCGACCCATTTACATGTTAATTTGGGCCTGAGCTATGCATCACATGTTTGTTGGGCATTAGTGTTCCACTTACATGCCTATTGGGCCTAAATTACCCTCTTACATGCTATTAGACATTTGTGGTCCATTTACATGCTAATTAGGCTTGGACAGAAATTCACATGTTAGTAGCTATACCTTTACATAATTATTTAACTTCGTATACTTATATACATACCTTTGGATTTGAAAACATACAACATTCACGTAAACATTAATCATGGTGAAAAACATAACAAATATGAAAGGTTGAGAAGATAGTGACACTTGTCGATTGGCACCTCTGAGTGTACAATCGTAGCCTATAGTTATAACCAGAGTTTCCTAGAGGGAGAGCGGGAGTTTGTGTATAGATCTATACGGGGTGACCCCCCACACCTTAGTTGTTCGCTACAGCTAGACTAGGCCAGTCTAGGGCAACAAAACCTTAAGCAAATATCGGCATTTAAAAAACGTCAAGACAGGCAACCTAGTCATTATCATGCATGGTTATAACGGTTCATATCGAGATCCAATACCAATTCAACATTTTGGAGATCAATCCTTCGATTGTGTCAATACAAAACAACTTAACTAATGATATAAGAACCTCGACATTATTATAAATCAGAAAATATCGGATTTTCTGGGAGAATACCATTATTCAATTATAACTTACTTATAGTACAAAGAAATTTTAACTGTAATCATATATGTTACTGCTATGAAATTCACACATGCATTTATACTTGATTTTCACATCATTTTCATACATTTCACAGAAAATATCGATTTTCTGGGTTTTACAAAAGATACAAAGATTTTCAATCAAACATACTTATGAACTCACCAACATCATATATGTTCACCGTTTTCAAAATAACTTGTATTTTCAGGTAATTGTTAAGCAGAAAGATTTTCAAGTGTGTATGGATATATTTTGTGTAACAGCATGTAATGTACTATTAATACTTGGAATTTATGTAATCTTTAACAATGTACTTGATGTGAACAATGGTGGTTGTAATATGTAATGTTGGTGATCAATGTGTTATGTTTCATGTATATTCATTGTGATGATATTTCAATTGTTAGTCACACGAGCCCCCTGACGTTTCCCATGTCTGGTTCGGGGGTGTGACACACATTACGTATCATTAAAGCCCATGTCATAAATGAAGATGACACGTATTTGCGTGTCATAAACTTCAGTGAGCATTTACAATATATATTTATGATGTGCATTTACGATACTCATTTACACATAATAAAAACAAATATATTCCAAAACAATCAATTTCATCCAATAACATTATGTCCAAATATTGTAATACATTGATATAAGAGGATTTCATTATACATTGTTATTAAGAGGTTTTCCTTAACTATATAACCTAGACCAAAACAACCAACTTCATCCTATAACATCATGTCAAAATCCTGTATGTCATTGGTTTGCGAGCTAGTGTACTAGGTAAAAGAAAATTGAACTTTGTGTCATGAGATTCTGTCCACTGAGCAGATGTTATCAAAGAAAAGACATTAACCAATGTGGCATGTGAGAGCCCGTAAGGCACAGATGAAATAAATTTATTACATATTGAACTTGAAGAATATATGTTATACATAGATATGTATAGATTACATATAGTATATAGTATAGAAATTGATATTTTGTATAGGGTTACTTTAGTTCTTCATATTTAAAATGTCCAAATTAGCCATGTAATTGATATTTACAATATGTGTGTTGTACTTTATTTGTTACATATCACTATTATTAGTAAAATATCTAAATATGTTGCTATTAATAGTTACATATTGTTATTATCAATAAAAAAAGAAGCATCTATACCTGATGAGATTTCAATTTAATGGAGATTCTAGGTGGCAACCTCACAACCTCCTCATTTTCCTTCCTCATAACATTTACAATATAGCCATTTTATGCATCACCTAACACTATAACAATAGTTCCATCAGATACAGTTGCCCTAAAACTTGTATAAATTGTTAATTTTTCAAAATAATATGTTGTGATAAGATATATAGAAGTAAAAGCCTATAATGAACAAATCAATGGAAGATGCATCTAGTATTCGTATACCAAAGAAAATAGAATACATAGGTCATAGGCGATTTCTTCCCTCTGATCATCCTTGGAGGAATGCATGAGATTTTAATAGGAAAAAAAGAGTCTATGATTGCACCCAAACATATCAGTGGAGAAGATTGCTTGTGCCAATTAGAAAATGTCCCTCACTTTCTACATGGAAAAAAACAGTCTCACATTGGCCAAAAACGTAGAAGGAACGAACATGAGTTAAATTGGTACAAAAAAAAATCATATTCTTTGAACTACCATACTGGTGTAAGTTGTTAATGCGTCATAACATTGATGTCGTGCATGTTATAAAAAATGTGGGTGAGAACTTCTTGGGAACTTTATTAAACATAGAAAATAGGACAAAAGACACTGACCTAGCTCACCGAGATCTTCAAGATATGAAATACGCAAGAATCTTCACTTGGTGAAGAAAAATGATCATTGGATTAAACCCCATGCTCTATATGTCTTAACTCCATTAGAGAGGAAACAATTTTGCTCTCTAGTTAAGTCTGTGCGTTTTCCTGATGGATATGCCGCAAACTTGGGTAAAAATGTTATTCTCGAGCAAAGTAAGATATATGGACTTAAATCACATGATTATCATGTTTTCATGTTACGTATACTCCCTATTGTTATTCGTGGGCGTATACATGATACATTGACAAATTTGTCTCAATTTTTCAAGATTCTAACATCAGCCACATTACTTGTTAGGGACTTGGAAACTTTGCAAGAAGAGATAGTTCAGATTCTTTTCAAGCTTGAACGCATATTGCCTTCCTCATTTTTTTACAGTTATGATGCACTTGTGCGTTCATCTACCTGAAGAGGCTATTTTAGGAGGACCTGTACAACCAAGGTGGATGTATCCCATTGAAAGGTATCTCGACCATTTAAAGAAATGTGTTAGAAACAAAGCAAGACCTGAAGGTTCTATTGCAAAAGGTTATGTTGTTGAAGAAGCCTTGATATTTTGTTCACACTATTTACGTGATGTTGATTCGAGATTAGATAAGCAAGGTAGATATGACGATGAAACTACCAGTGATGTTCGAGACTATAAATTAGATATTTTTAGATTAAATGGTCGAGGAATTGGGAAGCGAGAAACTGTTAGGCTTTCAAACATTTCAATAAAGAAAGCACATTGGTTTATCTTAACTAGTTGTTCACAAGTTGAATCGTACCTAAAGTAAGTACATTTTCTCTTTCATAGTGAATTGACTTTTTTGTATCTCAAGGTATTTAAATCTTAGTCACACTTGACAGTGAGCACTTGAATTTCTTGAAAAAACAACATTAAGGATCCCCATATTTGGGTGAATTACAACAATCTACATTTCCATCTTGGTTTTCATCACGGGTAATGTTACTATAACATAATTTATAGCATTTTCTCATGTCAGAACAATGAACCTACCCATACTTTTTTTGAAATGGTGAACAGATAGGAACAATGTATGAGTAAAATTCATTGGCAATCAACGAAGAGTTATATGCACTATCTCGTGATCCAAATAATCGAGTTATATCACATAGTGGATACATAGTGAATGGAGTTAAATTTCTGGTTAAGTCACAAGATGATCATAGGAGGACTCAAAAATGCGGAGTCACAACTGTAGGAATTCACAATGGTGTTGATGAAGATTATTATGGATATGTTGATGAAGTCCTTGAATTTTCACTCATAAAAGGATACCGAGTTATTTTATTTAAATGCATTTGGTTTGATACCGACCATAAAAGGAAGCACATGATGTTTGAAACTCATTTCATATCTATAGATACAACCAAAACAGCTTATGACGAAGATCCTTTTGTGTTGGCGAATCAAGCAAAACAAGTTTTCTATATAAACGATCCCACGCGTTACTCGGGCCGGAAAATCATAGAAAAAAGAACACATAGGATTATATGGGATCTTCCAGATAATGAGGATGTACAAAATATGTTTGAACATGTAGGAACATCGTCGGACACAACCCCCTTTCAAGCATCAGATTGTGAAAATTTCGAGTTTCATATAGAAGATGGTGAAGAAGAGTTTGTGGAAATTGTTGATGTTCAAGCTTTTGAAGACGATTTAGATGATTTTATTGATTATGATACTATCCCCAAAGAAATTAATGAGGAATTACCTGAAGATTTAGAAGGTTTAGATGATAGCAATGAAACAAATGTAGCCCTATTTGATGAGTCAGACGATGAATATGAATAATTGTACTCTTTTTCTACTTTGTTGCTATGTTTTGTAATTTTTTACATTTTTAAAATTTATTTACTATGATTATGGATAATTGTACTATATTTCTACTTCATTCGTGTGTTTTTAATTTGTTAATATTTAAAACTTTTAGACGATGATTATAAGTAATTGTACTCATGACTAACTTGTATATAAATCATGTCCTTTGCAGATAAAATGTGGATAATTCTAGTGATGATGACGATTGTTAATCTCGGAGGTACTAAGCGTGTAAGGAAAGAACCTCGACAAATTTCAGTCACATCATCAGGTGAAGGAAGTGAAGGTGAACTCGATCCAAAATTGTGTATGCTTTGTTGACATAAATGTGTTATGGCATCCGTTGATGCAACAGGTAAACATTATATGTTTTTACTGTTTACTAAAAAATGAGTTAAAGAAAATTTTAAATGTAATGGATTTCGGATTTCTGTTTTTTTGACCTGATTTTTTTTTTAACTTTAAATCTGAAATTTTTGACAATCTACCTTTTAGAACCTTATAAACAACTTACACAATGTATGGGTGTTATTCGGTTGGGTAATTCTATTTTCTGGTTATTCGGGTTCGGCAAATTACTTTCTAATTTCTGCAGGAGGAAGTGGTCTGAGAAAAAACCCTCAATCAACATCAATGTTGCATGTTGCTGAAGGAACTATCTCTAACACAACTGAACCAGTAGTTTGCCAAAATACAAATTCTTTTCCCAAATCAGGCACTACAGGTAAATATCATCAAACCATGCATATACACCCATGCTTAACACAATTTTGTGAAGAAGATTACAATATCATTTTCTTTTTTATTTTATAAAAGCCATTGCTATGTCTTCTTTTGCATCTATTGGAATAATCAAAATATAGGATAGGTTTGACCCAGGGGTATTTTAGGAAAAAACATCCTATTTTTAGTTTTTGTGTTAGATTAGGATTTTTTTGGTTTAGTATGAATAGGATATGTATCTATGATGTTTTAATTAAGTTTTATTCATGTTTTTCTCAAAAAAGCTTGGAGTACAAGAAAATTTTCCTAGAAATTTTTTTCCCTATTTTGTTCTTCACCTATTCTGCCTTTGTATCTTGTTTTTATGTATCTGGCCTGCTGTGATTTATGTGTTTATTTCTTTCTTGTGACAATCTCTGAATTAAGCGAATTAACTCCCCGAAATCCTTTTATTTTATTTTTTATACAACATTTATATTTTAGTGCACCCTTAGTTTGACCACTCAAACAATGTTTTGTGTATTTGTAATACATGTTTAGTAGACCATCCATGTTTTTTAACTACACTTATGCTTGTCCATTTACACGCTTATGTGACTACAACAACAGGAGGGAGTGGTTCTAGAGAAAATACTCAACGGGCTTCATTAGCCATAGAAGAAGTGGTTCCAAGTAAATAGTAGATAATTTATTCTTTTATTTATGATATTACAAATTATGCATAAGATGATGTATAATTTTTGTCGTGTAGATCAACCACAAAGGTGGAGGCGAGGCCCTAATATTAATAAAAAGGCTTCACATATTTTGGAAAATCAACCTGATGCTCGAATTACATTGACAAGAGATACCTATACAAATAAATTCATTGGGGATTCAACAATATCTTTTGCAACGGAGATTGGAATTGTGATGCAGAGCTTTTGTCAAATAATATTCCATACATGGGAGAAAGTAGCAGAAGAAAATAAAGAAGAAATGATTAACAGATTACGTGTAAGTTATATATCATTTTCCTCAATCTATTCATTTTTTGTCAAAATTTAAACTTCATAAATATAATTAATTATTACTAAAATTTTATTAAAAATGTTCAACTTTAATTTATGTATTAAATGTAGGAAAATTTTGAATTACCGCACGAAGATAAAGTTCAGATGGACTATGTAGATGAACAAATGCAGAGGCAATGAAAACGCACACGAAATATTTTCAAAGATTATTGGAAGAAAAATGGAGGAATGACAGATCCACAATTAGCAAGATCTAAAATGAAGCCAGATTGTCGTAGCGAAGAAGATTGGGGTTATTTGTGCAATTATTGGGAATCGGATTAAGCGAAGTTAATTATTAAATTCTATAAACCTTATAATTTCATCTTAGAATTCTTATTCTATGTATTGTAGTATTATAAAACATGCGCTATCAACTACACAAAAACATACACCTGCAACAAAATTCTCTCAATCTTGCACACACACACCTTTTATGTAATTCACTCTTATTTATATATTATTAACCACGTACGATTCAAATTTTGTAGCAATATGCTGAACAAATGAAACATAATCGGGGAAAACTTGTTATTCCAAGTAGAGGAGGCTCACGATCCATAGCAAATCACAAATTTGCAATGGTAAACTATCGAATTAATTCATATTTGAATTAATATATTCATGAAAAATTAATTTTTACATTTACTTATATGTTTTTAACGGCGTTACATTTACTTATATTAATCTTTATTATTGCAGACAAATAAAGAGACTGAGATGCCCCCCCCCCCCCCCCCCAACCCAATCGCTTTATATCATAAGTTGGATTTTCATCCTATAAAGGAACAGATAAATGATGTGTCACACATTCAATACGTAAGAATGATTTCTTGAATAATATTGATTTTTAGTTGTAATATATTCATATTAGTGTTATAAGCTATTATAATATGTTTTTATGTTGTATTAGGAAAATATTCTCCAACTCAAGGAGGAAGAATGCGCCAAATCAGTTTTGGCGGGAACAAGCATTACTCAAGAAATGGAATACGGCATAGAGAAAAAAGTCATTAAAACTATTTGTCCCAAACATAAAACATTATTATCTGGATGGGAGGCTTCAAGTGGACCTGTTATGAGGAAAAACTATATAAATCTCTTACCAAGCGCAGAAACATCTCAATCAGCCTCAAAAGACGAAGAAGATATGAAAAGTAAGATTGTTGCACTTGAGGAGGAGGTTCGAATAAACGAAGAGAAAGTCAAACAAAGTGAGGAAAAATGTGAAAAAATGTTCCAATTTATTATCTCGAAGTTCCCGGATTCTCAAAACATATTATATCCACCCAATGAAGATGAATCCCATGCATACAATGACATAACAAATCTATCATAGCAAGCGTCACATTCATGACCGTTCATTAAAATTTGGAACTTCTTTCACGTATGGTTTAGTTATTTACTAGTTTCTTAGACATTGTTGTTTGTTGTTTTAAATTTGGATATGATGTCTAAATTATAGTTTATTTATCTAGTACTAGTTCATTTGGTGTATTAACAAGCGCATTGTTTATATTAGTCACTATAAATGTTAGCTTAATTCTAAACTTTGGTTAGAAACTATAGCAGGTTGGGGACTGAATGGCATTATATTTGAGATTAATATTCAGTCACTGGAAAATCGGGTTAGGGAGCAAATGGTATTGTATCTGAGACTGATATTCATTCATTAAAAATCCAGGTTAGGACTAAATGAAATTCTATCTAAGACTGACATTCAGTTACTGAAAAATCTGGTTAGGTGCTGAATGAAAATGTATCTGAAATTGACATTCAGTAACTAAAAAATTGGGTTAGGGACTGAATGAAAGTGTATATGAGACTGATATTTAGTCAATAAAAACCAGGTTAGAGACAGAAGATGATAATACTTAAGACTGATATTTAGTCTTAAATAGATACTATCCGGGACTGATATGACTTGAGTAAGGATTTTAATAAAGCGTATTGAAGACTGAATGATATAGTATTTAAGACTGATTTTTAGTCCCCAAGAGTTATTATCAGGTACTAATCTTATATGAAATCGTGGACTTAAAGAAAACACATTTAAGACTGAATTTGATACTATCACAGACTGATTATCTGTCTTTGATACTTTACATATTAAGGAATGATTTTCAGTCCTAGATATTAAAAACAAAACACTATCTAGAACTAGGTTTCTAGGACTAGCTTAGGACTAGCAAAATCAGTCCCCGATACTCATTAGAGACTGATTATTAACCATCAAAGACTGAATATCTGTCTCTGATACCCCTTTTTCTTGTAGTGAATGCCCCTGATGCCTAGAGTATCATCCAGGTATGCCCCATGTAAGGGCCAAAGTTGCGAAGATTATAAAGGTAAGGGTAGAAAGGGGAAACTTACCATGATTCGAGTGTAACAAGGCTATTTAATTTGAAAGTCTCATATATCTATATAATGATCAATAAATGCATATTGATTTGGTAATTGTGTTTATGCTTTTAGTACAAGAAATATCAATGTACTTTGGTTTTTTGTCCTTAGTTTAAATATTCCAATGTACTTTGGCATCAATAAATGCATGCTGATTTGGTAATTGTGTTTATGTCCCGAGTACAAGAAATAAAAATATACTTTTGGAATTTCTTATATGTAAGTGTAAGAAATAGCAATGTGCGTTGGTAGTTTTTCTTTATGTTTGATAGTTTAACTTATAAGTTTATATATGTTGTTATTTATTATCTAGTTGGAAAACCTTTGTGTAATGTTAACGACTTGACGTTTAGGGAGGAACTTTATGTGGTTTTTCAATCAGGAGGAAACAAAGGGAACACAGATGATGGTTCGTTAGATAATTATTTTGTTTTTTGTATGTTAGACTTGTGACACTTTGGTACTTGTAGGAATTATAATAATTTTGTTGTTTATTTTGGTATTTGATGAAATTATAACACTATTTGGTACCTATTTGGATGTTATTATGTAATTTTTTCTGCATTTAATGTCGTCATGTATCGGTTTTTTTGCACCTGAAAGGTGTTGATTTTTTTTTTTAAATTTGAAAATATTATTACTGGTGACACTATTATCGGCGACAAAGGGTATTACCGACTACAAGGTTATTAGCGATGACGAAGGGTATTACCAGCGATAAATATCTTTAGGGGTGACATTTTGAGCAATAGTAACAGGGCAGTACCGGCTACTTTTTAGTGGCGACGTGTCGCCACTATTGATTTTACCGATGACAAATCCACCTTTAGTGGCGATTTTTGTCCCTGCTAATGCCTCCTTTTCTTGTAGTGTGTTTGCAATACATTTAAAGTATAGGCTATTTGGTAACAGTTCCATGCAATTTTTTTAGGTCTCCTGTTGTCCACTACTTTGATAAAGTTTCATTAAATCAAGGATTTAGCCATAAAGATCGAAGCCTAAATGAGTCATAAATCAAGTTTATAGATTTGTACTCTTGTTATAATTTTGGTGACTAAACTACAAAATTGGTCCCTATGGTTTGTAGAAAACTATGGATATGGTGTAAAAAGTTTTTAACTTGCATGAAAGGTATAAATTAATAATTTTCATAGTTTTAGTCCCTGAAACACTTAAAAATACTATTATGCTCTTTTATTTTCCTTTTTACATTTCTTTCTTATTTTATTAATATTAAAAACAATTTAAACCCTACCCCTACCCTACCCCACCCCACCACAAACTCTTTATATATATATATATATATATATATATATATATATATATATATATATATCTCACACACACATACACATTACTGATGATCTCTCTCAACCCAAAAACCATCACATATCTTTGTATTCTTCATATTCATCAAAGAGAGCATCTACTTCCCATGACATTACAACATTATCGGTCTCGATTAATCATCCAGATTATTTCAATGAAGTTTTGAAACATTACAAATTTGAATTCTTATAATCATCGGAGGAAACCAACACACGGTCTCCATTTTCAGTTTATCATTTCAAATCAGATATCAAAAATCGATATGTTCATCGATGTTCTTCATTATATATATATATATATATATATATATATATATATATATGTGTGTGTGTGTGTGTGTGTGTGTGTGTATTATTCTTCATATGTTCATTAGTGCGAATCATCATTGTCTTCTTCGAAACCCAATTCGATTAAAAGATATTTGTGTTCATTATATATATGTGCATCATCTCGATTCTAGGCTTACAATTTTCTCTTAAATTAGACCTTGAAACCCCTGAAAACAAACCTTAAAAACCCAAAAGTCGTGCCTTGAAATCCCTCATATTGTTCTGACCTTGAAACCTTGAAACCATTACATTTGTTCATCAAAATATCTGAAATGGAACATGTGATCTTACATTCTTCAGTTTGGAATGTTAGTACATGGGAAGATGTGGAGGATGAGGTAACTACAAGCTATTCATCAACAATATCTGATGGCATACACTTTTATGGGGAAGAACGTGGTTTTGGGCAATGTGATGAATAAAACTCATTTTCAGATCAAATGTTTTTTTTTTGAATTTGATCGATTATAGCTTTTTTTTTGTTTTTTTATTTATTTATTTTTTTTGCAATTTGGGGAGGAGAGAGAGAGAGAGAGAGAGAGAGAGAGAGAGAGAGAGAGAGAGAGAGAGAGAGAGAGAGAGAGAGAGAGAGAGATCATTGAGGTGGGGTGGGCCCTTTTTTCTTTTTCTTTTATTTTTAAATTAACACACCATTAACAAAAAAAAATGATGAAAGGAAATTAAAAATGGTAAAAATGTCAAGGGATCAAAACCATAGAATATTCTTAATTTTAGACCTTCTTCCCATGTGAGTTGGAAACTTTTTAAACTTTATCTACGGTTTTTTGAATACCACAAGCGTCAATCTTACAGTTTTGTCTAATTTTGGTGGTTAGGTTAGTCATACACCAAGCTTCTTTGTTCCTTTTATAGCGCTACTTGAGTCGTTTTCATCCATGCTCCTATTGTTTATCGATCATTTATTCTAGGACTAGTTGAGGTTGTTTTTCAGTTATATATGTAGTTCTTGTTTCTTCTTGCACTTTTGTGCACCTACCTGTTTTTGCCGATTGCTAGAGGTTGTGTTTTAGTTAAATTTATCTTCTTTGTTCTAAAGAAAACTCGGTTTGTTACCAGATATATATTATTTATATAAAAAAATCATATCAAGACATAACTATTTTTATGATTTTCTTGAAGAAATTGAAGCGATGCATGTTTCAAGCTAGTCTTGTTTTTGTTGGTTAATTAATGAAATTATGCTGTTCAAAAAGAATAATAATAATAAATAAAATAAAACAAATTAAAAGAATTTGTTTTTAGATACTATAAGGCTATCTTCAATGGTAGTTTAATGAGGAGTATAATCTCATTAAACTTAAAATTCTTATTGTGGTCGAATAACATGGCACTCAATGGAATGGAGAGTTGAATCCCTGTTGAACTCTACATTTTCTCTCCTTTCACACTTACATAAATGATTTGACAATCCATCAAATTATATTGAATTTAATGGAGTGTAGAATGTAATATACAAAATTATATAATGAATGAATTATATACGTGACAATCCATTTAAGTTAATTGAGTTAAATGCATCCAAGATAAACCATGGCTGGCTCCGCATTCTTATGCACCACCTAACTTGTTTTATATCAAAAAAACTATCAACGCTTAAGCCATGTTGAGAGAAAAAAATCATTGAGATTTCTTGTTTTTGCACTTGGGAAAAATCACCCGCAACTATAAAAAATGCTTACCTCTCCTCAATATCAATCTCACTCTTCAAAAATCTCACTTCGTCACTTCCTCTAGTCTCAATCGCTGCCTTCACCTTCGTATTTCACCTCCCACACCTGACCCTTCGTGTAAGATATCTCATTCCCACAACTTGAATGATCTCTTAGCACTTAATTACTAATTTCATTTTCACATTTGCATTCACACTTAACGTTGAAATATTTGTTCTTAATTGTTACATATATACTCTGCATGGTATCTCTATCATTAATCGGTTCACATCTTCTGGTATTTATTGACGCAGTGTAGCCTTCAAAAGAACACAGGAAAAATGGTTGCCAATAAATTGACAGGAAAGACCGACGTTGTCGATAACTTGACAGAAAAGACCGATGCTGTTGATACCTTGAAAGAAAAGGCGGTCGCTATCGATGATAATCTGTCTGTATGCACACTTGACTACGACAGGAAAGCTGAGCTTATCGCATTTGATGAAACCAAATCCGGTGTCAAAGGACTTGTCGATGCTGGCATAACTGAGGTGCCTCGGATCTTCCGTCTACCTTCACCTGAAAACCCAAACTCCGACCAAAAGTCGCCACCGGAGCACAGTCTTCCGGTCATCAACCTTGAAGGAATCAAGGAAGATCAGATCCGGCGAAAGGAGGTGGTGAAGGAAATCAAGGAGGCATTGGGGAGTTGGGGTTTCTTTCAAATGGTGAATCATGGAGTTCCGATTAGCGTAATGGAGGAGATGAAAAAAGGAGTTTTAGGGTTTTTTGAACAGGATAATGAGGTGAAGAAGCAGTGGTATACAAGAGACAGCAGTGGGAAAACGAGGGTGGTGTACAACAGCAATTTCGACTTGTATTCTGCTCCGGTGACAAACTGGCGAGACACTTTCTTGTGCACCATGTATCCTAATCCTCCTCAGCCAAACGAGTTGCCTCCTCAATGCAGGTTTTGACTTTTAATATATTTTATTTCAATAAAAAAGTTTCATCATTCAATGGATCAAAGTAACGCTTTTATAAAAGACCTGTAAAGTCGAGTTTTTCTGATCTCAACCACATTTTTTGGGTATGTTATTTCTTCAAAATCCTTTGAAAGTAGTCATTAATTGCAAAAAACATTATACTAACTTTTATGAAAATAATTTAAAACGTAAAAAAAAGAGTTAAATTTTGGGTTATGTAGCAATATTTGTACTTTGATAAATTATTGGTTACCATTGCCTGGACGGCTAATTTTGATTATAATTATTTTTTCAACTATATTCCTAATAAATAAAACCCTAGGTGACCTTTGGTTTATTCTTAATTTTTGTCAACTAAACTATTAATCATTATTGTTGACAACGATGGCATTAATTAACAAAGTCCGAGATAGCGGTCCAAGCATTTAAGAATATGATCGCTTCACATCTTGTATTTGTAATTTCTTTTTTTATAAATTTTAGTCGATAATAATTGACATATATTCAACTTGTCGTTTGTTTCTTCTACATTTTCAATGTTTAATACCTCTACAAGTATATAAAAAGTAATGATTAACCGTAAACAAATAGTGTATAAGCTTTATTTAAACGGCCAAACCATATGTAGCCAAACAGTCCATCAGTCTTGAAATTTTTTAAGGATCCATTTTGAGCATATTTCAAATTCATATCCACACATGGATTTTGGCATGATATGTATTTTTTGTTTGATTGGGATATATGTACACTTGCAGAGATATTTTGTTGGAGTATTCAAACCATGTAATGAAACTCGGACGTGCTGTTCTCGAATTGATGTCGGAGGCTCTAGGGTTGGACTCAAATTACCTTTTAGATCTGGGATGTGCAGAAGGGCTTTCTATTGGCAACCATTACTATCCTCCTTGCCCACAATCTGAGCTAACGATTGGCACCCTTGAACACGCCGATGCTGGTTTCATCACCATTCTTCAACAAGATCATATCGGTGGCCTTAAGGTCTTTTATCAGAACGAATGGACCGATGTTCCAACTATACCGGGAGCCTTTGTAGTGAATGCTGGAGATCTTTTACAGGCATCTCTCTCTCTCTCTCTCTCTCTCTCTCTCTCTCTCTCCCTCTCCAATATAGTTTATTGTCCTTAAATCGTTAAGTGTCCAGTGTACTAATATATAGCATTCCTTGAAATTTTATAGCTAGTTACAAATGACAACTTTGTAAGTTCACGACACAAAGTGATGGCAAACAAGGTTGGTCCAAGGATATCGATGGCATCGTTCTTTATAAGTTACCTGACTGATACAGGAAAGGTGTTGGGACCAATCAAGGAGTTACTTTCGGAAGATAATCCAGCCAAGTATAGAGAAACAACACAAAAAGAATTTTCGAGCCACTACCATCAGAAAGGACTTACTAAAATTTCTGCTCTTACGCATTTCAAGATCTAGCTCAATTATATGACTTTGAATTGGCTCCAAGATGAAGGTCTCCTTTTCTTGTTCTACTCGTGGTCACCTAATCTATCTTTAAAATTGTTTATTTGCATTATAATAAAGTATTATGTTTTAATACGAAGTTAAGAACAATTTTAGTGGCTATATTGTATGTACTTCACTACACAATCGAATATTTCAGTTGGTCTTTGTCTTATCCAAAACATTACAACTACCAATTATAAACAAATATTCAAGAAACATTTCTTGACAAACAAATATTCAAATATTCAAGAGTAGTGTATATTCTTGTAGAGAATGACACTTCATATAATTGGTCTCAGTTGTCTTTGTCTTATCTAAGACATTACAACTACCAATTACAAATGTGCAAGAACAAGAAACATTTCTACTCCACATTGTATGAGGTGTTATAAACCTGCTTAACATATGTCACTCAAGTCACAATCTTGGAGTATGACTCTAAGACTCGATTTTGGATCGAAGTGTGACTCACCTTAATTGATTTAACCATTTCAACACTTCATGATTCCTCTTCTTAGCCACACAAATGTACTATGGTGTCCTTAGAGGATCAATCATGATATGGTTTCATAATCATTAAGATGATCATAAAACATGATACTCAAGTATTCCCCTTTCCTTTTAGTCTGGAGAAACTTCTATATTTTTACCTAATTGATTCTTCATATTCGTTCTGCTATACATTGAAACTTTTCAAGGTATTAGAATTACACGTAGTCATGTAAGTATAACCATATTTACTGAGCCATTAGTAAATCATGACGAATACCCTTTATCATTATTTGTGGTGGATCTGACCAGTGCACAATAATGTGTACTAGATCCTCTCATCTTTCACTTGACTTACATTCATATGCAAATAAGGAATTATTCGTAATTTCCCAAAGATGAAGATTCTTATTCATTACACAATACAAGTCACGTGATTTCAAGTTTCTATCCAATTGAAACTTGAGCGATGAGAATCTTTCCTTAGTTAGAAAAATTACGACACTACCATAATCGATATAACTATGAATCAAACTATCGCTATTAATGGAAACATACAAACAATAATTTTTCACAAATTTCATTACAAGGAATTATAAAATAAGATAAAATCAAATTTTCCTTTATTTATAAAATGCAGAAAAATTGTCCTTACAATGCAAATTCTAATGAAAACTATGCTGCTAAATATTTCTAACTAATCTAAGCAGCATCTCAAAAATCTGATCATCGAACCATGCGATCGAAATTCATATCTTCGCAACGAGACATAGCTTACTCTTCCTTTAATCTTCCTTTCTTTTCTTTGATTCTACAAAATATCAAAATGCAATCTTATCATATCATGTATTACGAATCTATAATTAGGAAGTTAATATAGTTAGATAGTGGATTTACCTGAAGTAGAGTCATACAGTTTGATTTTACCATCCTTACGATCTTCTAGGTAGAAATAGTAGCTTCGCATCCAATGCCCCTTCTCTTGGCAATAGAAACAAACAGAATCTTTCGGAATGGTACATGAGACTATCTCATATTCAACCTTTCTCTTTACCATTTGGTTAAATGGTTTGACCTAGGCAAATCCTTTTCTATTAGGAACATAATACTTTTATGGACTTCCAATGTTGCCATTGTTAATATCCAAGGAAGTTTGGGAGATTGATCTTTCAGTCAAATTCACTTCACCAGTGCACCAAATCATTGTTAATTCAATAGCAATTAGTAAATATGTTAGATCATTAAGTGTCACGTCGTGTTTTGTCATATAGTAGTCTATAACAAACTGACTATATGACTCAGGGAGTGACTGAAGAACCAAGTCACTGGCTAACTTCCTTAGGAAAACGACACCAAACATTCTCAGCCTGTCAATATGCAACTTCAACTCTAAGATGTGAGCACATACGGACCTTCCATCTTGGTGTTTGTTTGCCAATAGGGCTTGAGTGACCTTGAACTTTTCAAGTCGAAGAACACGTAGGCCAGGGATAGTAATTGGAGAAGGTGGAGGAAGAGAAGTTCCACCAAAGCACGAAGACGAGATTGATCTTTCACCTTGATCGTCATGTGGAATATCATTTTCGAATGGAAAGCCTTTTCCAAAAGGATAAGGAAGACCATAGTTGTCAGAACCATACATCTAAAAGGGAGAAATTCAAGTTAGTTGATTTAGTCCTTAATATAACACCCAAATGAAATATCAAGGCTAGGACCCAACACAATAATTTACAATTCGGAAGAGGGATGCGTATTCCAATTACAAACTATTTGTCGGTAGGTAAATGACGATTTACCTATTCCACCATGAAAATGATTTTTAAATGAATTAGGTTTTTATATGAAACTCCTAGATCTTTTGAGATTCATTAAACTTTTCAATGGCATGTTTAATCTCGATTATGCCCTTTAAGTTTGTGACTGAGATACCGATGATCACAAACAGGGTGTGAATAACCATGCAAATTAACTTGGTACTCTTAAAGTCATTTATCACCTAATCAATGTGTCGGTTTACCATACACGCTCCATTGATCTATAACAAACTACGAGCTACCCATTTCCATCCTTCATCAATCCCATATTAGTGTACCGATTAACCACACATGCTCCACTAACGACCAACAAGGTACAATGTGCAATTTCATGGACTAGCACCAAATTAACCTTTTCTCCTAAGTAGCTAAGATTAGGAATTTATAAAACACTTAGTTACTTGGTATTTTATTATACTTATAATGGATGTTTGTGTCCTATCTTACCCATTCGGCTAATGACCCTCCACTAGTCAAGGGTGCGGTGGGTAAGAGTGTATACCCAATGGTGGTAATTGTATAGGCTGCTTCCTTAAACACCCATTATAGACCATTTTCGTGAATGAGATCTACTAACGGTAAGACTAACTTCTAACTTATACATATATAATATATTAGACTTTTAATTTTATTTAGTATAAGGGTGTATTTTACACATTCAAAATAGTAAGTGGTTTAATCTATTAATAAATTCGACTTTTAATTTAATTAAACTTAAACCATATCATTATGGATTTATTAATTTTGTCTTTTAATTAACCACTTAATTAATTTAATAAAACCATAAGGTTGTAATTTTAACTATTCAAAATATCAAGGTTCTAAATCTAAGATTTCAAAATTAAGGCTACTTAATTAAATTTTAAGTTACAAAACCAAGAAGTGCATTTTTGAACCTTTTCAAATTATGTCACACCCCCGAACCGTCATACAAACGGCGGAAACGTTCGGAGGTGGATGACGTCATATGTAGTATCACAACAATTGAATTATAGTAACCAAAGTAAACACAACCATTACATTGCATATGAATATTTACATCTATTTGCAAAACATAATTTGTATACATTAGTATATGACAAAAGTAAAATACGAGACTCCAAAATGCTCCGTCTTCCCCAAAAGCTGGCTAGTGTACCTGTCTACTATTGTCCTGAGAATACTAGCGGTTTTGAAATCATATCAGCATAAAGCTTGTAAGTTCATAAGCATGTTTTTGTTTTGAAAACTAGTCACTGAATTTGTATAAATGTTTTATTTCACTTATATGTAAAGCATGTTTCGCTTTGAAAACTAGTCACTGAATGTTTGATTGCTTTTTCAGAAAATCCAATATTTTCTATCATGTTTGTTTGTAACTGTATGTAAAGTATGATCAGTTTGAAAACCCTGGCTACCACCGGTATGTAAAGTAGTTTTATTACTTAAAATAAAACAAAATGTTGTATTCTTGGAATACCCTCCAGTATAGTATGTAGGTAGTCTTATTAATTAAAATAAAACTATTGAAGAATGATATTAAACCGTGTATGTAGTTTGTATGTGTAAAACTGGTAATGAAATCACCAAACTATACCCATTATAGTTTGACGGTAATGTTATGTTCATGAAATGTTCGGAAAACTATGCAATTAAGTTTAGAAAATGTCCCTTATGTTCCGCGTAATACAAAGGGGATTAAGTATCTAAATACTTTATGAAAAACCGTTGATTTGTATAATTGCATAAGTTTGACTTGTTGAAAACTTTTGTGTTTGGCTTGTATTCCCCCCCCCCCCCCCCCCCCGCGAATAAGTTTAAAAATCGTAAAAGCGTAGAGGTATGAACTCACAATTTTTTGGGTGCAAAGGATTGAAGTGGAAGATCCTCGAGTCGATGCACGTGGCACTTAACGGAATCCTAATATCAATTAATACATGTTTGTATCTAAATTAGCGATTTCGTTAGATAAAGTGTTAGATAACTCTTGTTTTCGGTTAACGAATGTTACCGGGACTTGGTTAAATCGAGGGAACATGCTTTTCACCACTTAAGAGCTGTTTATAGCTGTAAATTGGGGATTTACGGCCGTGAACTGGGTCCGTGGCCGTGAACAGGGTTTACAGCCGAGAACTGGGTTTACGGCCATTAACTGTCTTTTGAAGGGTTTACGGCCTTTGAAGTTTTGAAGGGATTACGACCGTAAACTCAAGAACAAGGGTGCTTGATTTCGAAAAAACGTGTCCCAGATGCTTCCAAACGACCCCAAATGACGATTTCTGGTGTTTTTCAGATAAAATGAGGGGCTTTAGGTGTTTACGGTCAAGAGAGTTAGAGAGAGAAAGAGAGTATTTTCATCCAAGAAGGTTCAAATGAGGGTGGTGGTCCTATATTTATAGGCTTGAGGGCATGGTCGGTGGTGGGGTCCACCTGGCACCGACCGCAAACAGGTTTACTGCTGTACACGAGTTTACGGCGTATACTCGTCCTGGCCGTAGACATGTTGTTTTTTGAGAAAAATGCGGGTTTTTCGTGCGATTTTTGGTTTTCCGACTCTTATATAATTATAACTATAACATTAGTTTATTTTCTAACCCAATAAGTTTAACGGGAAAATCAATAAAGTTCAAATTTTATTAACGAAGATTGATTAAAAATAACGGGAGGAATTTCGAGTTGTCACATCAT